CTCTTAAAGCTTATATCATGTATAAAAGTCTCCTAAAGCTCATTTCATGGTATAAAAGTCTCCTAAAGCTTATATCATGTATAAAAGTCTCCTAAAGCTTATATCATGTACAAAAGTCTCCTAAAGCTCATTTCATGGTGTAAAAGCCTCCTAAAGCTCATATCAAGGTATAAAAGTCTCCTGCTCAATTAATGGGAAAAAACATTTCAGGGTATTGATAACACAAACACATAGATGTCAAGAACAATTTGATTTACAAACGTATAATTTGTAATTTCATGTGTAATTTCTTTCTTTTTAAAAGTCTGGGGAGGAGGTGGGTTAAAGGGACATGACGTACTTTCCTGACTGAAGGGACATGTTCGTTATCGAGATGTGGAACTTCTGCAGTTTTTGTCATTAGTTCTTATGTAAGCTAAGTATGGTTCTATATTCTCTGTTCTTTTTCTCATATTTCTATAAATTTTATTAAAAATTATTCATCCTCAATGGTTTTTCTTACCAGGTGTCTTAATTGGTTACTGGCCAAACTAATGAACAAACACCTGGCCACATGCCAGACAGGTCTGATCTCTTCTGACTATTTAATGGATTACCTCACTTGGCCACATGCCATACAGTTCTGATATCTTCTGACTAACTAATTGATTATCTTACTTGGCCACATGCCATTCAGTTCTGATTTCTGACCAAACCAATAGATTACCTCACCTTGCCACAAGCCATACAGTTCTGTTTTCTTCTGACCAAACCGAACGTCTCTTCACAAATCATGCACTTTGTGATGGCCGAATCTGAAACGTGAACTGGGCGAACTTGACCTATTTGACACTCTGAATCCTGAAACATGAATTAATTACGTTGAAAAAAAAAGTATTCTATGTCTTTTAACATGTCCATCTCTAAGATTGTTCTTTTGATAGAATTTCAGTCCATAAAATTTGAAACAACTGTAACGTAGATCACCATTGACGTTTATGTTTAGAAGCCATCCAGAGACATCAGCTAATCATAACTTTTTTTTTTTTTTTTTTTTTCATCGAGCGATCTCCCAAAAGCAAATTTTGTGTTGAGCATCATCAAAAAGCCAGGTTTTCATTCCATTTTTTCACAAGATAAACGTAACTAGATTACACTACATACCAATCCACGTGCATAAAATGATGTAGCCTTAAACACCATGGTTCATTGATCTTTTTTTATCTTTTTTTTTTTTTTTTT